GCTGCTGATGCTGCTGTTGCAGATGCTGATGCTGCAGCCACGAGTGGGGTAGGGGCAGCGGCAGCTGCAGGGACAGAGGCAGGGGCATTGTGTTGCTAGTTGTTAACTTTTGCGCTGTCAATGATTTTGTGGTCCAAGCAATTGAATTGATGATGACTGCTGACTAAACACAAGGCACAAGACACAGACCAAACGAGTGGCAGCCACCGCTGGACGGGGCAGGGTTGGTTTGTTGGATCACGAATCCAGAAAAACAGAGCCTCAGAGAAGGCCCTGCCCCATCATGGAATGTGAGATGCGATCCAGCATCCAATAGATGCTTCACATTCAAAATCATTAAACTAATGATGCGATGCAGCAGCCAGAACGGTGGCAGGCAGCAGGCAAAAACATTGATAAGAAAATCCATGTAAAGTTTAATGACTCTTCGAAGAGTGAGGGAAAGAGACAACGAGCGAGAGAGGGAGAGAGTGTAAACACAATGCAAATGCAAATAAAAGAATAGAATAGAAATATTGTTGAAAAATTGTGCGAAAAACATTCCGAAACCCGCGCGAACATTGACTCCCGATTGAAATGATCAGAATCGCAAAACAGAAACAAAGCTACACTGCGAACACATTAGACCATTTTAATGTAGGTGTGTAATTTTTTTTATATCTATTATTTTATTGAAGAATGATATATTAGAAGAATTTCTTAATATTTGGGGAAAACTAAGCTTTTGATGATGGTTTAAATTTTCAGGTTTTCTTCCATTTACGAATGTTGGTTGGCTTTCATAAGAATTTTACATTCGATGTTCAAATGTGAATGATAATTTTCTAAGCTAATTTTCTGCATTACTCCCGATCGTATAATCGTATGGCATCTACTGGTTTTTCTATTATTTTTTTGTATAATATTATTTTTATCCCATCTATCAACATACATATATATAATACCTTAATTTTGGTATTATTTAAAACAAATTGGAATGATTTTTATAAATTTCTTTTTTGGTATTCCACCGCTAAAATTCTTGTCATTGAATGTGTCCATTCGCTTATCATCATCACCCCAAGGAACATTCGATATAAACATCTTAAAACATATTTTTCTCTCAGTGCAGCAGTTTGGTAATGAGTGAGAGAGAGAGAGGTAGAGAGCGAAGAAAAGCAGATTGCATTTTGCCATAAAAAAAAGCTACAGACTGCAGCGGGGTCGGCTTCTATATGTCGTGTCTGTCGTGTATTGTTGATAATGATTGAATGACTTTAACCCATGCTGCCGCCCAGCCCCTCCATCTCTGATGTAACCCCTCTCCATCCCCCTTTTATGACAGATCAAAGTTCTCTCTCTGTGAATAATCCATTGGGGTTTTTGGGCTGCTGCCCCTGACATCTGGGGCCTGGTCTTTGGATGCTGATGATGATGATGATGTGGATGGATGGCTGATGACAGCAATGCAGCAGTTGATGGTGAGGCTTTGAGGCTTCTGCTGCCACTTGCCTCCTTGCCTCATTGTCGTCGTAAGGCAATTAATTGTGCTTTAATCATGTCTTGGTCGCGGATTCCGTCTCTCGCGGATCTCTTGCGGATCTCTTGGATGTGTTTTGCAATTGCCAGAGTTCGAGTCGAGTCAAAGTCAGCCACCAGTTTACTTCTCCTATCCCTCTGATCAAAAATGATCCACAATCTTTCCCTCATTCTGACTGGCAACCTCAAACATATATTTGATTTATTTAAATATTCGTTTTACTTCCTTTGAGTGTTTTATTAATCTCCAAAATCATTCCTTATCATTTGGTGATGAAAATTCTTTAAGATTCGAACATTTTCTTTAGATAAACTTTGTATTCTTAAAGAAAACGTAAGAATCAATAGAACTCATGCATATATTTGTCTTTCAATCAATAAAAATTCAGTATCAATACATCTTTGATGGTTTTACTAAAGTTCCATAGTGAATGTATTTTCCATCTCTGGAAATCTCTGCTACCCCTCTGGAAACACAAAAAGAAAAGAGATTCCCATTGCCACTTTAAAACTGGAGATATTCGAATTATGTCCATCGACTGGATTTGTTTTGTCGGATCGTAATCTCCGCAAAAGTTTCGTTCTTCTACGAATATCCCCTCCCTGTTGCCACCTCTCTTTCAGCCATCGATCATCGATGGCTTTTTTTTATTTGATTATCAAATGAATGCAAATTTTGTGATTGTTGTCATCCTAATATTAATTTTAGTCGCACATCCTCTTTCCCCTCCCCTCTCCTCTCCATCCCTTTCCTTTTCTTTCCTCCCCATTCCTCTTCTCCCGCCTCCCCTATCCGGTGCCTGACGTTCCCCCGCGCTTCACCCGTTTTGTGGTCGTTGAAGTTTTCATTGTTCATAAATTTTAACGGACTTATAATGATTGTCATTTTTATTTATATGTCTTTCTGTCTTTCTGCCTTTCAAGTGTTTCTGTCTCTCTGCAGCGCTTTTTGTCTGGCTGCAGTTGTCCCCTCCCCTCCCCTCCCCACCCCTCCTCATTGTTCCATTTTATTACCAAAAGAAGAAAACAAGTAAGAAATCTTTCGTTTAAATTAAACATTTTTGCATAAGCGCGAATTATGAACAGCAATAAAAAAAGTACAGCACAAAAAATGGGAGAAGAGAAAGAAAAGTGAAGTTTAACGAAAGCACGATTTAGAATATACCCTTAAATATACCATCTATCTAATGGGATATTATGAGTATATTCAAATTGGACACAATTACTTTTTATATATTATATTTTAGAGGTTTCACATTGAATTCATGATATTCAAATCCATAATAAGACTGTAAAACAATCCCAAAGAGAAGCACATCCAGAAAATATGTAAATAATAAATAATAATAAATGTATAAAAAAAGAATGTGACTTTTCCTTCTGGACACAGTAAAACGTAGGAATGCTCTTCGAACCAACCTCCCAAGCAATTGGAGACCTTTCCACCACACCACAGAGGGAATATCCTTGGTTATATGAAGGTTCTTCTGGGAGCAAATAATACCCATCTAGAAATGTTTTGAAATTATATTTTCTGACGGCACAGTGAACTTAAAATGATCTTCGTAAATATCCCAATATTAAAGAGGAAAAATTCAACCTTTTGGTTAACTTTCGTTAGGGAATTATACTTTTCCAACGATTCAGATCGAGTTTATAATACATTAGTCTTTGTTGTCTCCGCTTGGAAAGGGTATTAAAAGCCAGAGAGATGGAATGAATGAATGAATGTCGATTGCAACAGTCAGAGTCAGAGGCAGGCGACAGTGGCACGAGGGCAGTGCCAGTGGTGGGGGGAATATCTTTTTGGGCGCTAATTTGATTTTTGTTGCCTCTGCGGCGCCACGGAACAACATGCAATATTGCAGCAGCAACAGCGACGGCGGCGGCAATTGTTGCTTTTTTTTTTGACATTTTAAACTTGTTTTTGGCGGCGGCTCACTTTTTTATTTGTATTTTAATGATCTTTCGTTGATTCGTACGTTGATTGCGGGACACGTTTTCACTCACAGACACAGCTACAGTTAAAGCTACATCTACAGAAACATCTACAACTGAAGAGCCCTATTCCCCGAGACACCCATAAAACACCCGACCACTGGTGGGAAGGGGGGGTTTTGGATGAAACTGGAACTGGAATCGAATCTCTCTGGCAGATGGATGCAAATTGCTATTCATATAAACACCTTTTTGATTTCGTATCTAAACTCTAGAGCTCTAGAGTATCTGTATCTGCATGTGCCCTCTGTGTATCTTTTGCCCTTGGAGTAGTGTATCTGTGGAGTACACAGAACTCTGCTTGCGCTGAAAATGTTGGAAATGTCAAACTTGTTTGATTCTCAAATCAGCAGCAGCAAAAGCAACCCATCAGATACATCTCCCCATCTATTGTAGATGTATCTGTTGGATTGAAATAGACATTGCGTGATAGAGAGAGGGGAGGAGCGGGTGAGTGCCTCTGTGATTGGGGCTCGAACGGACGGAGGGAGGTTCACAGAGGGGTTCATGTTCATGTTCTCTCGTCCGCTCATCGAGGCGTAGAATTAAACTGTCAAATTCAACAAATAACTGGATTTGTTACACTGAAATGTTCGAAATACAGCAGTACAGCGAATGGGAACGGGAACGGGAAAACGACAAAAAAAAACTAGAACAAAATCTGAAGCTTAAATGATGCTTTGAGTGCTCGTTGGGTGGGATATTCCATGCCGCTGTCCCAAGAAATGTGAGAGAGTCGAAGAGCAAGCCACTAAAAGAGTGCATTTAGATCTAAAAGTCTTAGAACTAGACCTTATGATACGAAAATATACCATTTCTTGCATAAAGAGTCGATTTTTTATGTCTTAATTTATTTAGTATACACAAAAATTGTCTGTTAAGAGCATCCGGATATTAGTGTAAATTTAAGGTAAAAATCGATCCGAATTCTATAATGAAAATTCCATCCATTCCTTATCCGAAACTGAAGCAACAGAACATGTATCGTAGAAGTACAGTTCCCGAGAATACACAGAACCCTACAATCCATACAGAATACATGTATCGTATATTGCTTATCGTTTAGCAGACCCCCCCGGATGTCATGAGCTTTTGTTTTCGCTGTGAAAATGTGAAATTCTTCTTGGAATTTGGAAGTTTCTTCGATGTTTTCGGTCTCTCAAGGTCGCAATTTTGTTAAGTGCGCCATTTGCCCGTCCGCTTGGTGATAGGCCCCTTCGTTGTACTTCCTCTTGGATACGGGATATGGCACATGCCCCAGTCACCCACTCACCCATTCACCCACTCAACCACTCACCCATTCGCTTTAGTCGTTTTATTCATTTCTATTCTCATTTTTCTCTTATTTTGTTTGGCTTCCTTCCTTCACCTCTTCCCCGATTTATCAGCGCAAAAGTTTCGTTCAACTTAAATTTAATGTTGATTCAACATTTCGTGGCTTTAATTTTGGTTTCTGTATTGTTCTCTTTAATTTTCAGTATCCAGTATCGTATCCCCCGTAAAGGACAGGAAGGACAGGGACAGTGCATCCTGTGCAGCGCTCCCGAAGATACATTTTGAGATAGAGAAAGGTTTTTTCTCTCTGGAATTCATACGTCATTTGGCTTTCATGTGGCCGCCTGATTTAGGGTGAGTACGATACAAATACATCCATGTACATATATCTACTGTATATGGCTATATATTGTTTTATGAAGGATCGTAAAATATGGTTTTGTTAATTAAATAAAAATAGGCAAAGGGTTATTGTTTCCGTTATTAGACAGCCATGTATAATCTATTCTGTTATATAGATGGGACGGTAATGTGGTTTTTAATTAATTTAATTTTCAAGGGTTTTCAATACATGTATTTATTCTCCAAAAGAGGTATTCCTACTAATAGAGTATCCCATCCATCGACCTCTGACTTCTGTTTGTAATTTTCCCCACTTGTGCATATTTTTCCCGCTGATAACTTTTCATGCCATAAATTTCAACCAAAAAAAATGTATAATAAGAAAAAAGGGGAACAATTTCGCGGGGGCGTTGACAAGTTGTTTCACGCTCTCTCTCTGCCCCCGCCCCGCCCATTTCCCCTCTCTTTACCAATCTGCCTTTTTGCCTTTTCGCTTTTTATTTTCCGTTTTAGTTGATTAAAAACAACAACTGTTTACGCTCTTGCTTATTGCCCAGTTGTTGCCCGTTTCTGCTGAAAATGCATTTTCCAGGGCACAAAAAAACGGCTGATGGGGGGATGGGTATCGTATCAGGAGGACTAGAGAGCATTAAAAGGTATATTAGAAGAGGTGACAGAGGGACACCCCTTTCTCTTCATGGGGTACCTTGAATGTGGAAGAACTCCTAGAGGTGACCTCCTCAGGTACTAGCATTTCCTATGTTGTTAAGTACTTGCAATGGGTTACTGTATTTTATATTTCTATGATTTAAGATAATTTCAAGGTTTCTCATGATGACTAACATAATTTAAAAAATTCGTTATGATAATTTTTTTTATGAAAAGGTGGAACAATCTTCAACATTATTTTCTGTGTTCAAGAATAGATTTTATTGTTTCTGTTTCGCATGAAACGTTGATATTTTTTCCAATAAACTCCACTGAAGTTTAGTTAAATATGTGCATATGCATCAATTTTCGTAGAGATTCAATATAAAATAACGCTAAATATCAAATGAAACCTTAGAAAAAAATAAACATTCAATATTTTTTGAAAATTTCTTAAAAACTTACATATAACTGAAATGGTGGGAAATCCCTATCCAATAATAATAAAATATCATTGAAGCTATACCTGTGAAAGTTCAACAAATCTAAGATGTATTTATGATCTATTAATGCAGTTAATCGCATAACGATTCGATTTTCTAAATGGTATAATATATAATAGATCTTATAATGGATCTACCACTATAAGTTCTATAAAAATGAAGAAAATATGGAAGATCCTGTCTTCTCTCTCCTTCAATGGAAGCAATCCCAATTTTGGTTAGAGGGAATCCCCTCTATAGGGTGTTCCTTCATTCGACCAAATCATATGAATCTTAATTGCTGTTGCTTTTGCTGTTGCCAGTTGCCATTCTGCTTCTGCTGTCGATTCCCGATGTAGTTGCCGAATGTTTCTTTATCTCAATGCCCATAAATAATGGGAACTCTCTGTAAAGTTCGATTCGATGTGCATAAAATATATACAACTGCCTGCCAGAGAGTGCTACTAGTGCATATATCGATGCTGTTGCTACTGTGCAAGTGTGTGTGTGTGTATGTGTGTGTATTACCGCACATTGAATAAAAGTTACAAAATCCAAAATTAATGAACTCGTCGATTTGGCAACGGCAGTGGACAGGGGGGCAGGTGGCAGGTGGTAGGAGGCAGGCGGCAGGCGACGACTGCTGCTGCTTCGTGCTTTCGTGGTTCAATAACATTTCAATTGCGTTGACATAATTTTAATTAAATTAAAATCGAAAACAACAGCAACAGCAGAAACAGCAAACACACAATGAATTTCAAGCGGGATACAAATAAGTAAAAAAAACAAAAAAACAAAAACAAAACAACGAATGAATGCTAAAAAACCCGCGTGCGACTTGCTAACGGGGTTAACCAACCAAAAAGCGTTGAAAAGGAGGAATCCCCAGGGATTCGTGAGATTTTCATTTGCCCTCATATCTGCAGGCGTGCAGGCACTGGTTAAAGTATTAATTTTTAGAAATTCTGTATCCCCTTCTGGATCGCCACAGACTCCACAGATTCTATCCCACATATTAAATTGATCATCTACAGATCCTTCACAGTTCCCCCAGACTACACAGCATCCATGGGATGCTCTCTCTCTCTCTCCCTACCTTCTCCCATCAGAACCATCATAAGGTGTCTCTCTGTCTGGCCTCTCACTGTGACAGAGCCTCTCTCTCTCTCTCTGTCTCTCCATCTCTGTCTGTCAACCCGGAAGCGATAACACAGCTGACGGACAGCCTACAATCGGCGGAAGATAACTGCCCCATGACCATGCACCCAAAAACACAATAAAATTTACAATTTAAATAAATAAAATATGTAATAACAAAAAAAGAGACAGACTCTCTCTCTCTCTCTCTCTCGTTTCTCTTTATGTGGAATATGCATATATGTAGCTCTTTCTTCTGTCCCTGCCCCATGCCCCACACATGCCTTTAAGAGCGTAGATTGTGGATGCTTGCGCATTGTGTTTCCATATTTTCACAAAATTGCATTGCTCACAAATCATTGCTCATGCTCGTATGTGTATGTGCATGTGCATGTGCATGTGTATGTGGCCATAAATCATAGTATATATACTAAGTATAGTACTATATACTAAGTGAACAGATTAAACGCTGATTAACGTGCCAGGAAAATGTCTGAGTAAACTATGAGATGAGAGAAGAAAGACTACAGAATCAAGTGGAAAGCAATGGAAATGTCGCGATGTTTAAGATCAATGTTCGGAATACGTATGGATCTTATGTGATCTCTGGAGGGTTAAAGATAGCGTTGAAAGATCTTCAAGTGATTAAAGATTAAACAAGTTCCATGTCTTGCATTGTTTTTGTTCATTTAAAGATTATATTTTGATGAAAATTAATGGATATTATGGATTGAAGAGTTTCAGATCACAAAACTCATTCATATATCGAATAAAGAACGTTCTTTAACTCAAAAAAGAGTTCATTCAAGGGCTGAGAGGATCATTGTTTATTGAAGAATGTTTTCAGAGCTCTTCTATTCATTCATTGAATGGGATTGAAGATGGTTTTTCGTAAGGAGCTCTTCTTCTGCCACAGAATGTACATACGAGTATGTATATATTTCGTACGTGAAGATGTCTCAGATAAAAATGTAGCAAAGCTACTTTATTGAAAGATAAAAGATATGTATATGGTATCGTGTAGAACCCAATTGCTATTATTGTTACAGAGAGATGTCTAGAGATTAAAATCTATTGTGCCATCCTCTTCCCGTTTGTAAGTTTTGGCTCTTTGTCAGGTCAGATAGATAGATAGATAGGCAAATAAATATATACATAGATAGATGAATGGATAAATAAATAAATGTAATGATATGCTTTTTGTTTAAAGAGCTCTATCACTGCTATGATACCCTGGCTGTAACTTCCTAGCTATTTTTCAGGATATGCTCTCTTCCTAATCCAGCTATGCTAAGATCCTCCATTCAGAGGCCTCTAGTAAAGAGGCAACCAAAATCTCATTATTCCATCTTCGAGAGAGATAGAGAGAGAGAGAGAGATTGATGTCCTTGCGCAGAAAAGATTCTCCTTTTCCTGATTGCTTTATAATTGCAAAAGTCACATGTCTGTGGATCTGTGCAACATATCCACTCATTTATTCACTCATTCATTGCGAATATCATGCCAATTCGAATTCCCAGGCTCATGGGATGGGGAATGGGGATCCACTTTGATTAATACCATCATTTGGTCTGCCTTCTTGTCCACTTAATGCAATAGCAATAACAATTATTTATCAATTAAGCTATTACATTTCATTCAATTCAATTCTCGATTCGATTCGATTCGATTTCAATGTGAAATAACCTTCCACATTCCACACGCACATCCCTCCCCTCGATGGGACTGAGACTGGGACTGGGACTCGGACTCATCGTCCGTTTCAGTGAAAATTTATGCGAAAAGTTCAATTGCGTTCAAAATGTCAATAATTTGAGGTTGTTGCGGAGTGGCATGTATTTTGTCTCATGAATTTTGCATGTCACAATTTATTTATTTATTGGAACTACGAAACGCAAACCGCGAGGCGACTTCTGCTCTTGCTCCTCTTCTGTCCTGTTCAATTGAATATCTAGCAAATTGGCTTGGGCATTGTGTGTCACAGACACAGATACAGATACACTAGCACTAACTACACTCTGTGTGTGAGAGAGAGATTGTTTTCACATTTCCATTTCCATCTGCCTCTCTCTTCCATCTGCCGCGTTCAAATGGGAAAACGTGTCAAAGGTGTTGGCAATTTTCGCAGTCAATTGGCATTAATTGAGTGTGAAACACAAAAATATTTTTGTAAATTGTTGCTGTTGCAGTGGTGGGGCGGTGCCACACACACACTGCCGCCTCCCCGTCCCAAGAGGCAGGTTCTGCCTGCTGTTTCTGTTGCTGTTGCTGTTACCGCAAATGCGCCGCGCAATATGCAAATTGATTTGCCGAACAATTCATTTGAAAATGCATTGCATAAGCCGCAAAAGCTGCAGCAAACAGCAACAGAGAAACAGTAGAGACTGAAAACCGATTCAAACCAGACACCAATTGGTGGAAATTGTTTGGGAAAACCCACTTAAAAAAAAAAAAAACTGAATAGGTGGGACAACACAGATCCACAATAATTGGCGAGGATGATAATTTTTGACATTTGTCTCCACTTATGGCCCTCCGCCCCCTTCACCACTTTTCACTAAGAGGGCAATCATTCACTTGGGAGCCCTTTTCGTAAAGCAGATGATAATTTCACTCCATCCCACTCCATATAATCCACTTATCATGCCATATCATTGCAATTCCCATACGAGTATTCCATTCCATTCATTGAAACGAAAGTACTTTGTAGATCCCTCCTTTCAGTTGGGGACTTTGTGAATTGGA